TTTACTGGAACCTGTATCAACAAATCAAATGAAGGGAGGTTTGGAAATTTGACATGGTATGTAAACAGAGCTGTACCAGGGCAGATGGTAAGAAAATACTTTCTTCATCCTTTTTGAAAGAGAATGGGAAAATCCAGTGTGAAGTTACTTTAACCTAATTTTTATTTTGGTTTTCTTTTGCATTGCCTGGAAACGAAGTATCCGATATAACACTGTCTTTCCATAGTGTCTGTATGATAATGTTCCTGACAAATACAAACCAGGTAGGGCCTGGATGGTCAGGTAAGATCTAAAACTTTACTGACTGTGTATGTCTTCAAGTTTTGCATTTTAGAAGATAACTCTAGTCACCAAGATTATTAACCAAATCTGACTGGGGGATGTCACATATTTTTCTTATTTTTACCTCTCTGATTTCTTGAATGTGTATGTTTGCTGTGGTATATGAAATATGGGTTTGTTGGTAGGCATTCGGAAATGTTCTGCAGCTGAATTTTATATCTATAATAATTTGCGAAATAAATTACAAAGGGTTCCTTTTTGTAGCATATTTATCTACCCCCTAATTGCTGCACAGGCAATGGCACATGGAACTTTTATCATCTGGGAGATACCTGCTTGATTTTTTTTCACAAATTAGATAGCTTACATTTTTAAGGGTGAGTTTAAAGACCAAGGAGTATATTAGTGGGTGTATTTGAAAATACTACTTGCTTTTTTATATCCATGACAGTAGCATTAGTTTTAAGTGCAGACGCCTATCATGTGGATTTTATTTTTGCATTCCTTTTCCTCTCTATTTGCATTTTCTCAAAAATGTGACCAGCTGTCTCAAACAGCATATTTCTGTTTTGAGTTTTTAGTTAAATACAACTTAGTTACTGACATTGTTTTGCTTTGAGATAGAGCTTTGTAGTTTTTGCAGTTTGGAAAACATGAATAAAGATGATTCATCTACTTCTGTTGGAGAACTGGAGTAACACATTTGAAATGACACTGTGCTGAGAGCTGCTTAAATTCATGCCACTGCATGACAGTACACTGTCAGATCTGGCAAGTACTTCATTATAGCATCTTCCAGATCCGACTCTATTTTTAACTGAGGCTTTAAGGTGCGTGAGAAAAAGCATCTGCTAGAATGAATTGGTGGACAGCTTAATTGTTTATATTTATTGTGCAACAATATGATAAACTCCAGATAATGAGAAGAAATGAAAATGTGCAAAGATCAGTTATGAGCTGGAAACTTTTTGGCGCTTTGGAGTATTCCTTTGGCTTGGCATCTGAGTCAGCTTACTGTGAAAACAAGAATGAATGCCTTTAAATTTAAATGTGTACTGCCTTTCAGACCGTAGTCTATTTGTCTTCTGTTATAATATTATTCACCAGTTACTGAAAAATTCCTTGGAGTTACTGTTACTCTGGCTATCCTTTCTGTTTATGCTGTGAAAACTCTGTTGATACTCCCAAATTCTTGCAAAGCGATAGAATCCTTTGAAGTTTTTGCATCTTCCCCCAAATACGGCAATTTGTTTAGTGATATTTTAACCTTCTGTTTTGTTTTTACAGTCTTGAAGATTGATGTTCAAATTTTCCTCTTTATCTCCCACATTATTTTGAATTTTTTCTTGTCCTTGGTGTCAAGATTCTATTCAGCCTTCAAACTTGACTAACTTTTGCTTGCCAGCGAATAATTCCTAAGATTTCTAGTGCTTCTGGATGTCCTATGGTAGACCCAAAATGTAATACAGTCTGAAAGGGCTCAGAGTCTTTACTTTTAAAATAGCCACAGTTTACTTCTATTTTATGCTTTGTAAAAAGGTATCTTGTAAGTTTGAGTGTGGTAGGTGTCACATGGCAATACACAGTATTGCAGTTGTCTGTCTAACAAGACCAAGGCTGACAGAAAAGAGTTTCAGAAATAGAAATACCCAGATATCAAACTGCCCTCTGCTTGTCTGTTTTCTTTCTCACTCCCATTGCTTGCTCAAAGTCTCTGTTCCTGCTGCTCCCACATTTCATGTTACTTTACTCCTGTCAGGACATTTTTTAAAAGAAAAGTCTTAGCTTGCTTTTGCCTGCTGTGATATGTTTTTGCACAGTTTCACATGGTTTGATGTAGACTTGCTTCAAAGGATTTCTAAGTTGCTATGTCACTTGACACTTGCCCTTTCAGTCTTCTGCTGCTTGCTTTTGTTTTGTTTTCTGCCTGTGATTTTGTTTTTGCTCACCATGCACAGGAGATGGGGTGACATGGGTTGACATATGGGGAGACAACTTGGCCTTTAAGACACAAATCTATACCAACCTCACCATCTGTGAGCGCTCCATGCAAAAAGGAGCAAACATTCACCCCAAGTACACAACCACCAGCACAAAGAATCTGCTGCTGACAAGAGGAATATAATGGAACTAGAGGTGGTCAGACACATGTGTGAAACTGTTTATGTGACAAAATAAATTAGAAAAACCATAACAAGGCAAGCCTAGCAGGAAATCACAGAGTCTGTATTTACTTCATGTCTCCGTCTGGCGTTAGAGGAAGAAGGTGGCCTCTAACTGCTACAGAAAAGGTACAAATCTCAGATTACAAATTTGTGCCATATGTTTTCTGATGCTTGAATATAACATTTTAACAAATTTGGGTGTGGAGGTTTTACTGCTTAATGAAAGGCTGTCATGGAGAACATCAGGTTTCTAACAAAGCTGAATCACGAGGGCGTGATCGGCGAACTGATGAGCGGAACGCAGGTGTTTGGAACAATTGCCCTTTGCTTGATTTGCTTTGGTGATGTGATTTACATCTTATGCAAGAACTTTCATAGATCTCTCTTGAGAGCTTCTCTATGCCAGCAGCTGCACTGAGTGCCTTTTCACAATAGCACATTTCATGTGTTTGGTGTGGCTGGTTCAGTAAGCATATTTGCTCCTTTTTGTAAACTTAAATCCTCTGCTCCTTCCAACCAGCTGTGAAGATACTATCCTCAGCTAGCATCTCTCTTGTCTGTAGGGACCAGAAGGAAATGAAACTCCAATGAGAAAAATGTCAAGACAAACTATTTTTTCCTTCTGTTTGACATTCTCTCTTCTCTAAATCTGTCTTTTCTCCTGTTCTTTACTCTGCCTTTCTTCCCTGTTTCATTTTAATTTCCAGTTCCTAGGTGTTACAGTAGAAGTTGTGACTGTATTCAGAACCAATGAAGAGTGACAAAAAAGGAGGAAAAAGATGGTATAACTTTAGCATGGTATGTGTATATGTATATAACATAAGTTTTCAGTAGTTTGGTACTGTGTTTGTGTTTAATACACACAGAGACTGCTGGGATACTGTCTTCCTCATGATAAAGGTGGGGCTCGATGGCCAGTTCTCAACTTTTGCTCTGCCCTGATTCAGATCCATGTTTCCCTGGGTTTTAGTGCACTCTCTGGGCTTTGGCATTCATTTTTTTATGCTATTTTGGCATAATTCCTATGTATTAAGTCTTAGAGCTAATAATATACTGATTATAATTAATTACTTACTGGTGTATTTTTTATTTCTAGTGGACATAATGGATAGTTACACGGTAATGTTGTGGTAGAAAATATGAGGCAATATGGTGCTGTTTTGAAATAATGTCCTGAAACTGTGCAAACACCTGCTTCCTTCTAATTATGAAAAAAACTTGAGTTATTTTGTTTTTTGAATCTTTGATTTCAATGCTCTCGCCTGGCAGTGGTTCAATATGTTAGAATAGATACTTCCAAAATGATTGGAAATTGCTTCAAAACATCTCCAGGTAACCTTTTCTCTTTGCTATGAATTAAAAAAAATTGGAACAAGTTCAATATGTTCAACTTAAAAAAAAAAAACTTCAGAGAAAATGTCTAGGACCCTCTGCAATCTGCTTGAGCTGCCAGAAATGTAAGTGGAGAGCAAATACAAAAAGTGAATTTGGATCTCTAATTGTTGTAGTAAGAAAAAAATGGAATAAAATATGAGGAGAAACCTACAGGTTGCTGAGAATCAGTGAGCATCAAAGCACCCAGCACAAATATAATTGTGTGGTTTTGCCGTGCCTGTTGCTAGTTCTGTCCTTACCAAAGATGAGTTGAGGCAGGAAATGGTCTGAGGAAAAAGGAGGAGAGAACTAAAGCTGTGTCAGGGCTGTGTAGGAGAGCAAGGATTGAGAGAGCTCTGTCCTGTGGTGGCTCTGTGCTGACTGACATGAGGAGGTGGGCAAAGAAAAAACATCAGGAGGACCCAGTATTTATTTGGAATTCAAATTTATTTGCTTTTCTCAGCCTTGGCTATAGTACACTCATTTGAGTATGTCCTGCTTGCTTGAGACTGAAGAAGCAGTTTCTATTTGTCATACACAAATCCCTGTATGAATAATCTCAGTCTGAACAGAAATTAATGATATTTCTTCTTCAAAGTCTCAGACACGCTGTATATCTTAATACTGTGAGTCGTATCTGATATCCACTTAAAAATACAGAATAATTTCAGAAAGGATGTTCAGCTGAAAGATACCATTTTTCATGTTTTATATTCTCTTTCTTAGGATCAGAGCAGTAGTTTAAAATAGTATTTTTGGGAAAAGGGCTATTAACTTATTGGTAAAATCACAGTTTCTGTACCTTAGAGGTGTTTTCTATTACATGTTGTGGAGGAAATTCCTACATCCTTGCATAACATTGATTTAGGATCACTTATGCAGGAGGAAAATTTTAGAGCAGTAGAGTTTCAGGAAGGATTCAGAGGACTCTCAGTAAAGAAACCAGGCTCATTTTATTTTATGCACTATTACTGGCTTGAGAAGTGGAAGATAGGTTTTGTCACGGGTGGAGAAACCTTCACTCTCTCAGTGAATTGAGATAATGGTTTCACACATCTTGTCTCTGAAAGAACTAACTGGATGCAGATTAAATTTGGCTTTCTAATACTTCAGACTGTATTCATAAAGCCTTACACACATGCTTTACATGCTGTAAGAAAACAGTCTGTGTATTATTCACTGATGGGGAAACTCATCTCATGGAAGTGCTCTATTCAATAAAGCCACCAGGGTAAACAAATTAACACATCAAGACCTAATGAGCAACAAGACCAAACCAATTATTATGTCATTAATTAGTAAGGATTAGACTAAGAGGTGATAAAGTGTTTTTCACCAGCTTATCATAAAGCTCTTTGCAAGTCAGTGTCCCTTTTCCTCAGAGAGACACTGGTGTGCTGAAGGTCAGCCACATTAAATGGGAAACAGAACATGGTTCTGCTGGGGCCCAGTCCTGTGCCCTGGGCAGAAATAGCTCAATTACACTGACTGACCTTTTCTAGGAATATTGCTAAAGCTAATAATATGGATTGCTGCTGAAAAACATTTTGACTTTATAAGTCAATTCCATTTCAAATTCTTTTTTCACCAATAATGTTTGGTTTCCAATTACTGTGAAATTACTTTTCAGCTTTGGTCGGAATATTCAGCAGTGGAAAAATGATCTTTCATTTATTTCAGAGGAGTTTCAAGATGTCACAAGTTGACATGGAAAATCCAGATGTTTTTAATTCTGAAAATTGAGAAACAGATTTTGAACAGGAAAGTTATCTTGTTTGGTGTGCATCCTCAGGAAGAAGGATACAGAACATTCCCCAGTTCTCTGCCAGGCTGTCATTTATACAAAAATATGAGCGGAAACAGTTTTGGGGCATCTGTGCAGAGCTTTAGGAATATCTTGAAGAAATCAGAAGAAAATAAATAACCTCCACAACTCTCCCATCTTTATCAACTATTAAACCCTCTATCAGACCTCTCAGAATAAATCAGATAATTTGCATTTTTCATAACCTTTCTTAAATAGACATAAGAGGAACTGGAACTACAGATATGACCTACCAAAATACAATCTCAAAAATACACACAGTAGTCAGGAAATGCTAATTTTAATTTCTGCAAGATGTATATTTTATTTATTTTATTTTTACCCCTCTCTGTGCTGTGACGTACTTGCATGCCACGCTCAGCAAACATTCTGGGATTTCGACACAAGTGTGGAGGAGAGCACTACACCCTCAGCTTTGGTGGTAGCTGGCATAATGGTCCACTTGAGATTTGAAGCAGAAAACTTCATTGGAGGACAGGCTGCATATTGCAACAAGGTATGTGATATTTCCCTCAAAAATTTGAGTGGGAATCTGCTGTTTATGACTATGTAAGGATGTGGCAAAGGGTGTGAGGGACCAAGAGTAAACAAACATATTGCCATGAGCTCTGACCTTAGGATCCTGATGGAATGGTTTTAATCTGAATTTTATGTGTGCATATTCTCTCTTTTGGGTGATGTTGCCAACCTTGATTTTTAGAAAGAGTATATGTCGTGTTCCTACATTCTAACATATGAATGTCTAGTAAACTTATAGTGTTACTTGGGTAGGGAGTTTCCTTTTAACCTGAAAATATTTCAGAAATCTGAAATCTGCTTGAAATGCATGATTAAAAGTGGTGGCAGTTTTATCAGATGATGATATTATTTCATGATGATGTTTTATCTTTGGGTAAATCCTTTGTCCTTGGATTTCCTCCAGTGCTCTGTGGTTTTCTTTTCATTCTGAAGGGCTCTAGAGACACATCAAAGCTATGACATATGACTGTGATTTGCTGTAATTAAGCAGGACTTTGGTATATTCAGTGGGCAAGTAGTTGGCATGATTGAGATGCTAAAGTTCCTCTCTGGAAGAGAGCACGAGCTCTGGGCTACAATCTGGCATGTGAGTTAACCAGGGTAAGGCATGGGTGGGAGCGAGGGGAGAGAGGGAATTTTTTTGTCTGGCTGAAGGGAGAGATGCTTGCAAGGGGGCTGCAGAAGGGAGCAGCCAGCCCCCTCCCACAGTGAGTGTGGATCTGCTGGGAGACTCTGTCCTGCCTCACATCACAAGTGTCCTTGTTTCTGTGTGTTTCATTTTCCATTCTGGTCACAGAAGTCAAGAGTCATGGAGCTGCTCTTTCTCCCTTTTGGCTGTGACTGTTTCTGCTTGGTCTTGGGTGCAGCTGAGGCTTTTGCTGTGCCTGGTTCTGCTGCTCAGGTGCTTCACTTGTGGTTTGCTGGAGCCTGAGAGAGGATGGTGCTGCTGACATCCCTTCTGGGCTCTGTTTCAGCAGCCATATGTGATGAGCTTCTAAAGAAGGGTGTGAGCACCTGATCCCCAAACCTCAGTGAGACAGAATGGAGTGTGGAAAAATCAACCAGTTTAAAACTTCTAATGAGCCAGGAAACTATGACACAAAAGAACAAAAGTAGTTTTCCAAAAATGAAAGGTGAGAGTTCTCTTTTTTATCTTATATTCTCAGTGCAATTTTTTTCTTTTTTTGTTGCAGAAGAGTAGCATTTCTGTAGAAAAATCCAATTTTCAGCTTATCTCTTTAATCAGAATGTTCGTAACACAATCTTATTTCCCAATTGCTGATGATTTTTTTTCTTTCAGTTCACATCTAAGTCTTCAATAGATTTTTTTTTTCTTCATAAGTAAAAATTCTCACTGTCAATCCCTGAAAAAATGTTGCTCTTATACTAACATGTAAATTATCCTTAACTATCTGCTCTAGTGCTCAATATTTCTTGTTGATAAATATTCCAGTGTTTTCCTGCTTTGAAACTTGTAGGCATTACCCTGTGAATAAGTGAATTTCACGTTACTGCTCTTTATTGTGCTCATCAGTGGAAGTACCAAGACTGGCATAGTTGAACCAGAAGTGTCCAGGCACTTTCCTTACCATTCCCCTGTAAATTTTGAATTCTTAAACCAGTCCTGGAATTGTTGCACACATCCTAGTGCTCAGCTAAGAAAGGGTATTTAGTGTGTTCCAGTGTTTTCAACCCCACTTGAGTCCAAAGAATTTGTGATATACCCTTTAGATGTTTTGCTGTTTCATTCAAACAAACAAATAAAAATAGAAGAAAAAGAAGTTAACTCAGTTAGATAACCTGGGCAGTCCTTTCTTCCATGTGTGTGGAAAGGGGAAAAAGTAGAACATCCAAATGTCTGTTTGAAAATGCTGGAGGAGGCGATGAATTTATGTGTATAAAGCCTGTGCTATCGTGTGCCTTGAAAAGCTCACTTGACCATTTTAAGTAACACTTGAGTAACACTTCAACAAAATATTTTCCAGCTGTTATTTCTGTCTCTTCACTTCAAAATGTTATTTCTAGCAATATTATTCAACAATTCCGTTGTATGCTGTGAAAACCTCTCATGTCTCATGTTCTGCTCCTGCAACTTTTCATTTTACCTACTGTTTTTGCTTTTTCTAGGGAATCAGGAAATAATGTAGGTAGGAAGAGACCTCAGGAAGTTGCTTAATCCAAACCATCATTCTAAGGAGGTCTAACTTTAGATCTGGTTGTTTAGGGCCTCACACAGTCAATTTCTGATTATCCTCAAGGATGGAAATTGTAACCTCACTGTAAAGTGCTCTTTGCTTTCTGTGGTGCAGAGCTGGGGCTGAATGTCCTTTAGGAGAAAAAACATTTGAACACTCAATGTTCATGTGGTTACCAAAGCTGGGATTTCTGTGGTGAATCAGTGGCTTGGGAAAGACCTCAGTAAGAAGCTGGATTTTCAAAACTGTTGGCCTCAAATGGCATGTTGAAAAAGTAGTACTCAGGACTCAAGTGATGTTTTCCTGTAAAGAAACCATCAGTACTGAATAATTTAATCATTAATAACTATCTCATCAGTATTGCTGCTGTGTAGTCCACTAGCACCAGATTATTCTGAAAAGCCAGTTTTTGTGTATGTCCCAGTAAAACTGTTCCAGTTCATGTTTGAACTTTGCAGACTTTGGTTTCAGTGGGATGTTGCTGTAATTTTGAAGAGCATTTTGATGTCTGTCTTTACTGACAGAAATGAACTTCAAAAATAAGGTTAAATGGATTGAATAGTAGGACACTGCCCTATAATACTGTAAGGTTAAAGCACTAGAATGTGTTGGTTTTTTTTCCTTTATTTTTGGTGGGATGTATGCTGGTTGTACCCATCTGGAAAGATCTCAATGCAGTTATCTATTCAGGGTTTATTTCTTCTGACTATGTTTATGCATCTGAAATTGTTTTAACACATTTTAGCTCTATAAATACTAGTGTACTACGTGTATATAGGATATTTGATTTAATAAATCTACTTCTACAAAGTTACTGTAAATTTCCATTTACATATACAGCTCTCCTAAACTAAGCTATGATAATATATCTTTTACAGAAGAACTAAGACAAATGATAACACATTGGAAATGGTGTTTTGCTTCTTCTATGCTGCCATAAAGCAAGAGATGGCAAAATGACTTCAGACACAGAATCTAATTTTAATAAAAGTTAATAATATATGTTTGGTGATATCTTTGCTCTTTAAAAATCACAGCATATATCTGAGATGATGTTTCAAAGGTAAAACACAAATTTTACTTTCTCATGTCTGTTTTGGAATTTGTTGTTTTCAGATGCTCTTTTTAGCATTGGACAGGGTTCTGTGGAAACAAACTTATTTCTTAACATTTTTCCTCCTGGGAGAGCTTTACATCATCAGGGTACCAGTGAGGGGTGGGACTGATCTTCTAATGTCAGGAAACTCATTTAATTTTACTGTGACCTGTAGTGTGGGAAATGCGTAGTCATATTGTTTCCTGATTTCTCTGTCCTGTTGGCCTCCTCCCAAAACAGATTTAGGAAGAGCAGATTCATCTGGAAATGTACTTTTTTTCGTTGTTCTTGTTTTTGCCAAATTTTCAATTAAACGCGTTCAGCAAGCCAAAAAACCTGCCTCCCTTCTACACTCCCCGCCTTTTTTTCTTAATATTTATAATGTTTTTGCTATTTGCAATATTTTTGTACTTATATAGCCTCACTTTATACCTACACACATAAATATTTGAGAATATTTTCCATGTAAAAGCCTGATAGAAATAGTTCATAATTTTTAGAGAACAGAGAGAGATGCCAAAGCTCCTCTAATGGGGCAGCTATGGAGTTTATGCAAAAATGAGATTCCAGTCCTGAAGAGCAGAGCAGGCCTTTAAATGTGGATTTCTTCCACTCCATATGAACAAACTACCATGTAGAATGTATAAATCAGTCTTATCAGGAATCTCTCTCTTTTAGGAGAACGGATTTGACATTAATAAATATCAAAACCCTAAAATCTATAGTGAATGATACCCTCTCCTTCTTCCCCCATAATTTTTTGGCCCTTCCTAGGAAAATGGGAAAGCTTCCTTGAGGTAATTCAGTTTCATAGCGTTGTTAAGAGCACTGCTTTAAAACCCAAAGCATGTGATAACTGCCTCAGTTACAGCCTGGGACTGGTGACTTTCACTGTTAAATGAGCAGAGAAAAATGGATTTTTCACACACAAAAGAAAGCTGCATAAGTTAGACCCTATCTGGTGAAAGACTCGATTTGATCACTGAAAAGCTATTCAGGTATTCTCTGTTCATTTACTTGTTAGTTTTTGAGGCAGAATTAAGTCATATGAGCCATTGTGCTTCCTGTAGGAACCAGAGCATTTCCAAAGAGAGGGACCTGAATGTGAATCTGACCTATGGCCCTTCTTGAGGTGTTTAAATGAGAAAAAAGAAACCATGATCCCCTCTGTCATCTTGAAAATGTTTAGAACCGAGATGTACTCATGAAGTCCTTTCCCTCTGCACCTTGAGGAGAAAGGGTGAATGGGCTCTTTGTGTTATCTCTGAGTGATATCCTAATAGTGTTTAATATAGTGGTAAAATGTATACTGAGCAGGGAGGAGGGATAATTTTTCTACCACGTGTGATGTGAGACACATTGGTTAACATCAGGGAACTTGCCACAAAAAGTACAACTAGAAAATTGAAGGTAAAAAGGAAAATGAGCTTGCTGGGACTGGCATTGTAACACTCCCTGGCAAGTGCACAAAGAAAGAGTATTGCCTAAAACACCCCTTGGAAGTGAGGAATTGATGCTCTACTTGAACAGTCTTCCAAAAGATGGCTTATGTGAGGGGTTAGAGCAAAGTAAGTGGCTTTGACAAAATTTCAACTTACTGTTTTATGCAGAAATAATTAAAGAAGGGAATAAAACAAATACCATCCACCCAGAATTAGACAGAGTTTCATTGTAGAGAAAATAAGACTTTATTCTATAGATTAAACCTGTGAATTGCCTATGTGGCCAGATGAAAGATGCATATAGGATATTTGGGTTTAATAATTCTATTTCTAAGTTACTGTAGAGTTCCATTAATGCATACAATACTCCTAAACTAAGATGTGATAATATATCTTTTATAAAAGAACTAAGGCAAATGAGAACACATTAGAAGTGTTGATTTGCTGCTTTCCCTAGAAAACCCACATATCCTTGAGGAGGAACTGGATCCAAGGCTGCAGTCTAGCTTTTTTATAAAAAGCATTTCTATTAGGGACGTTTGGGGAGTAAGAAAGGAATCTATGGAATTAAGGTTTAGTGATATAAATGGAAGGACTGAGAAGACATTTTTAGAACTTAACAGTGTTCTGAAGCTCTTCATTCTGTAAGATATCTGGAAAGCGTATTTTTGAAAGCAGTGATTAAACAGATGTAATGATGATCCTTCTTGAGCAGCCGTTTAGCTGTGAGGAATGGGACAGCATATACTCAAAACGTGAGGCAGAGGCATGCGCTTCTCCAAATATTGACACCAAAACATTTCACTTAAAACTCTGGTCTCTAGTTAGAAGGAATCACAGCAACTGTGTGTTTCAAACTGTTGGATTTTCAAAGTAATTTTTTGTTTCTCTGGCACAATTAAGTCATATTTCTGAACAATCAAGAAGATTCCTTTTTGTAGGGAAGTCAGACATTAAAGTGCTGTACATTTGACTGTGAAGACTGGATCCCAGAAAAGTAAATCATTGCAGCACTGGGGTTTCCACTAAGCTTTCCATACACAACTCACAGTATTACATCCTTTATTATTACAATAATTATTGTTATTACTAGCAGAGGTAGTAGTATGCTGTGACTTTCTGATGCCTTGTTGAAGTTGTTTATTTCAGTCTTCTTGACTATAAACATATTGGACAGAACAAAAAGCAGTCTGAGACCAAACCTCATGTTTGGCAAGGGGAATATTATGTAGGTATAGATATTTCTCAGGCACCTCACACAGCCAGAACAAACAGACAACACCAGAAATGACTTTCACCATGGCTCAGCCTCACTCTTAGCCACACCAATTCAAAGTATCCAAGAAGACAATATGAGCCCACTTTTCACATTTTTGCTTCATGTCTGAAATTGGAGTGGT